CCTCTGAGAACTATGTCCACTTACCTGACCCCAAGTACTTTGCCTCGATTGCAAGTAAAAAATAAAAAATAACAGTTTATCTACTTGTACATAATTCGGTTTACATCAAGGTATCCATCCTCTCACATGAAGTGAGACCCAAGTGGGCCCCGCCCCAATGTGAGAGGATGGATACCTTGATGTAAACCGAATTATGTACAAGTAGATAAACTGTTATTTTTTATTTTTTACTTGCAATCGAGGCAAAGTACTTGGGGTCAGGTAAGTGGACATAGTTCTCAGAGGTGAACCACAATAAATCTGTGTTTAGTTTTTATTTTTATTTTTCGATCCGTTGCTTAGGGCTTAATCCCTAACGTATGCGTGAATGAGCAAACTTTTATTCCTTTATTACTCCAAGCTCATAAAGAGGCCTTTTCTGCTTTGTTGGTTTTTGAATTAGAAAAAGGCAAAAAAGAGGAATAACCTTTTCTTGGTTGAGATAATTTATCCTTTAATGTTTTTATTTGATATTCTATTAAAATGACGTTGTCCTATTTTTATTGAATACTTAAATTTCATGGAATACAAAGTTTTAAAACAATTTTTTAAACTTTCAAACTAAACGTGATTTTTAGTTTTTTGTTTTGAAAAATAATTTTTCAAAATGACAAAGCAAACGTAATTTTAGCAATGTTAAAACAGACCCTGAAAATAGAAAATTGAAAATAAACTCAATACTGAAATACAAACCAAACGGACCTTAACTTTTTACTATTATAGAAACTATCAAGTTGAATTACATTTCAAGTTAATATAGAGAATCAAACTTATTTATTGGTTAATCAAAAATTCTACTTGTACACAATCTCATACACAACCCTCTCACATATGTGTGAGGTCCACAATGGACCCCACATTGTGGGACCCACATACATGTGAGAGGGTTGTGTACTAAAGTGTGTAAGTGTAGCAAGATTCATTGGTTAATATCTACAACACATCTAGTCAGTGCAAGTCAAATTCATTTTTCATTGAAACACTTATTTATTTATTAATTAATATTTTTTCAACATGTAATATATTCAACTGTAACTTAAATTTATTTTTAATTAAGATAACAACGATACTCGAACTCAGATTCATGGTTGCTCAATATTATGCGCAATCACCTAATGTGCACACTATTATTGACGATTTTTATTTTTTTTCCTTTTTGGGAAAATTTTCAGGCACCTTCAAATAGCACAAGATGTCAGTCGAAAATTTTTCATCGGTGATACCTTTAGCAACGGATTTCATGACTTCAACAATGGAAAAGTCGTTTCCGAAGTCACCATTTTTTGTGGTACTAGTTTCACCTTGGCTTGGTAATTGTATCTTTATCTTTATAATTTTCATTCGCTTTCATTGTAATTATTGTGACTAAAGCAAGGTATCAAGGATTCTTTGCTTTCAATTCTTTCCACTAATTCTTGAGCGTTTTCCCCAAAATTTGGCCATTGTAGGGTTTATTGAAGGTGACAGACAGAGATGGGCTGGGCCGACGAAAATGATTTCTTCTGTGTGTTGTCTATTATCAAATAGCTGTATCTCATGATTATGATTGTTAAAATGATGAAAATTTTCACCCTAGCGTAAAAGTGAAAAAGTGTTTTGAATAAAGGAGAAGGATACGAGATAATAAAGAGAAGAAAAAAAAAGGGCGGGTTATAGTAATTGATGTTGACCTTAAGCCAGATTAGATAATGATCAAATTACATCATGAAAATAAACAATTATTCGATAATGTCTCTACCTTTCACAATTATTGCGAAAAACATCCATACATTTTTTTTAGGCACTTCTCCTTTAATTATAATTTGATAGTGCAAACCATCATTTCTATCAATTTTCATCTAATTTCTTAATAAAAAATAGTGGGATGACGAATATACCCTCATATTTAAATAAAAAAGCTAAAGAGTTAATTGCAACCATTTTTCCAATTTTTAAAAAAAGTGCAAATGAGTCCCAAATAAATTATTAAAGAATTAGAAATTAAAAAAATATTTTTTTGTTTAAATATGAGGGTATATTCATTATTTCACAGTTCTTTATTGAGAAATTTGATGAAAATGGATAGAAATGATTGTTTGCACTATCAAATTATAATTAATGGAGAAAATGTTAAAAAAATAAAAAGTATGGATTTTTTTGCAATAACAGCGAAAGATATGGACATTATGTGATAATTACCCTTTTAATACTTTATTTGAGACTCATTTGTCTTTTTCAAAAATATTGGGACTATGTTTGCAATTAATTTTTTTCTTTTTTCTTTTGTTTGATTTAAAGGAAATTTTATTTTCGTAAATTCATAATTTTTAATTAAGAAAATAGATGAAAATGTCATTTTGCATAATGAAATGTGGAAATAATAGTGAAAATACTAAAAGAATAATGAAAGGTGAGGACATTTTGTGATAATTACCCATTTGAAAAAGTAAGTCAAGCAATTACTCATTACTAATTAAATTACTTATATAACTAAACTAAAATGAAGCTTTTAAGCATAGATTAGATTTGGACAGTAGAATTGATAACAAATTTCTGATTTCACTGCTTAAATTTATCGAAACTGTACCAAAACACACACCACGGATGGGTAATTAGCACACCATATCTCTCTTTCAAATGACTAACAGGTCACGTTTTCTTGGCGGCGTAAATCCGCCGCTATTGCCTACGCCGTTTTCCCCACCGGCGGGGAAGGAGGCAACTCCGCTAGACAAGCAACCCCTCGACTCAGATTTTATAGTGATACTCGCGGCGCTCCTTTGCGCGCTAATATGCGTTCTGGGACTTGTCGCTGTTGCCCGCTGCGCTTGGATCCGCCGCATTTCCGGTAGAAACTCCGCCGTTCCGCCGTCATCTCACGCATCGGCCAACAAAGGCCTGAAGAAGAAGGTCCTGAAATCGCTCCCGAAGCTGACCTACGCCGCCAACGACGACAAGATCGGGAATTTATCCGACTGTGCAATTTGTTTGTCGGAGTTCACCGCCGGGGATGAGGTTCGAGTGCTTCCTCAGTGCGGCCATGGCTTCCACGTTTCTTGCATTGACACGTGGCTTGAATCTCACTCTTCCTGCCCCTCTTGCCGCCAGATTTTGGTGGGGACACGGTGTCAGAAGTGCGGCAGCGTGCCAGAGGCCGGCTCCTCCTCCTCCGCCCCTGCCAATCGTTCCGGAGCTGAGTCTGAGCCAAGCTGCAGGCGAAGAGAAGATCTCGTCAACAGGTTTTTGCCTTAAATTACTATAATTAGCTCAGTCTCCATGTATATATTAATTTCAAATTGGGGTTCTAATAGTGAAAGGATTACTAATCAGGATTAGAAGAAGAAGCAGTAGAAAATTCAGCGTTATTTCTGTATGTATATTGTAGTGTGCGAAGAAATACCAATTACATTTTCTTTATTACTTCAATTTCCCTTCCTTTAACCTTTTTCAAATACTAATTAATTGGTAGTTGCATAATTTCTTGGACTATGGGTCACAAATGGACCAGAAAACCAAACCAATAGAACTCGTTAGCTGTTTATTTTTGGATTTTGCGATTGAAGATATCAACCATGTTTAATAGAGTAACTTTACCAGATTTATTGTGTCTTTTTTCTTAAATTTGTTATTTGTAGTATTTCATGATTGAATGGCTGCCGTGGGGTTTTGGGAAAGTGTTTTGAATGTAGAAATTGTCCTCGCTTTTTAACGGATAAATAAGGAAGTTAACAGTAATTGTTATGTCTTTAGAATTGGAAGGTTCTGTATCTGTTGAATTATTTTGGCAATAGTCGCATTTGATTTGAAAGATTATTTGTCAAGACTTATATCCTTTCTTCTGTAAGGCATAAGCTGTGTACTTTGTTTTTATTTTCTATCTTTTCATGAAATAATTCCATCATTTCGTCAAAGTTACAACCTTTACCCTTCCATGAATGACCACATCTAAAAGTTATTTATATTGTCATTCATAAGGCAAGTTTTACGCTTTCAAACCTCTTACTCCCTCTATGTTTTCCTAAAAATATATCTTTCTTGTAAATAAATCCCTCCAAATTAACCTTGAGTGATTGCGCAATTGATCACACATTGGGTTTGCTCTCTAATGCTCACCGGTTCGCTACTGAGGTGAGTACCTGATCGTAAATTTCAGGGTCCCGTGGGATTAGTCGAGGTGCGCGCAAGCTGGTCCGAATATCTACGGTTATCAAAAAAAAAAAAATCCTTCCAACGTTCATATAAAACTCTGGTGTTAAAGTTAGAAGTTCTATTCACTAGTTTGTGTGCAATTGAGGTGCTGCCTCTGTAGGGACGAAAACTGTTCTATACCAGGAAAAGAATTGCTCGTAACCTTGAGCATTAGAGGGAGCAAAATTGTCTTAAGGAGACATCGTGAGGTCGATTGGGCTGGGATTTTTTTTTTTCCAAATTGCTTCATGAAAAAACTGCAAATTCAAAAAAAAGTTTTGTTTAGTGATTCGATTGATATGCATACTTGTTGTATGATAATATGCTTACTGCAATATTTCTAGAACTAACCTGGGTAAATTCTGATAGTCTACAAATATCTCATCCCTTCCACAAATTAGTATGCCATTATCATGCGTTTTGTTCATAACTGCACTTTCATTCTTTCTGTTGGAAGTTTCATTTGTAATCTTTAGAACCAATAAACCCTAGCTGTTTGCGTGAAAGGGTATAAATCACGTTCATTTTTCTGTGGAGAACTATTTGCGTACATTTAAAAAAAAGTATAAGCCCCTGTTTGACTCACATTCTTTCAAAATTCATTTTCAACAGTACATTCTTTAATAAAATAATATTTATCATTGCATCAATAACTTTTCTTTACTTTTTAACCACATATTTCTCATCGTGTCACTATTTAAAATACATTCTTTACTCAATAATATTCATCAAACATCCCCTAACTTATTTCAAATGCAAGTTTAGGGCAGCAGATCCTAATATGAATTCTTATCCTGATCAGAAAGCTTCGTGAAAGTATTTTATGGACACGTTTCTGCATTGAGTTTGGACCTTTGATTTCCATATGTGAATTCTATATTTTTGGGAAAATTATGTAAAACTCAAGGCAGGCATGTATTATGAATTGCTTTGATGTTGGATGCATTATATTTGTTAAATTCCTATATATATGTGCTTGGAGTTGTTTAACGATAATAACTAAATAAAAAAATTTAGACAGTATATCCATAAACAGTCCATGATAATGTGGTATTCGAAGAGGAATAGTTTCATGAATTCTCATAAAACAAGTTTTCAAAAAGGACGTTTTAGTTTATTCTTCTTTTTGTGACTGTCTATTCTATATACATAATACATAAGAGAACATAAAGGGGGGCAGTTGTGATCGTTGGGAGTTTTTTGAAAGTTATGACCTTTCATGTTTTGGAAGAACATCAAACATGCCTGCATTTGTATTCCAGGTTAGCCCTTCTAAGATAGTGTCTCGATCGACAATTCTTGTCTGTCAATATGATCGTCTCAATGGAATGTCCTTTATCTGAGGATTGTTAATGGGAGGACCCCTAGTTGATGATTTCAATGTTAGATTTTATGAAACTTTAAATCTCAAGAACTTAGAAGCCTAATTATTTTATTGTGAAGATCTTCCAGTCAAATCACCTAGAGAATTATTAAATGCGAAACATATTTTAATTCATTGGGAATGATTCTTTATTATTGGATCTTGAATTTTGAAGATCAACTGCAATCTCTTCATGTTTGGTTTCATAATCTTTAATCATGAATGTCGCATCTTTTGATTTTTGAATTCTTGTTCTTGACTTTGGCTTCTTACTCCACAATCTTAATTGTCTTAGTTCCTTTTTCTTGATTGTCGATTTCCTATTCTTGATCGTGTGTCTTTGATCTTCCTCTTCAATATGTTTTCTTGTATTCCTGTGTCGATGGAATGACACAAAGAAAGTGAATTATATATGAATTGAGAATCATAACTCAATTTATATTTTCATATGTATTTGGCTAATCTTCAAATACAATCTTAATGGATCCCGTCTTTACATATATTTAGTCCACACTTTATTTAGATGTCTAAAGTTCAATAACTTAAACTTTTTATTAAATCAGTTTAAATGGGTTTAACTTTAAGATAATATTATACACAATTAATCACACAATAAGGCTTACATCACAAATTAAATCCCAACCCTCAAACCATGCCATTTCTCTCTGTTAATATCAGAATTTGCAGTTTTTAATTGAAGCATATGCATTTGAATAGTGAACCCTTTATTTTCCCCTTGGCAACTGAGAACCAGTGACTCTTTGGTTTCTTGTGTAAACTTTTGAGTCAAGGAGACAATGGAAGAGAAGGAGATACATAAGTTGGCTAAGTGGATTCAGCCCAATTTTGAGATATTCATGAATCAAATGCCAATGGTTGTGCCAACCATTTCTAATAGTTGAATTTGTAAACTGAATTCTCCTCCTTTCTTGAGTATTTTCAATTCATCTGACAAAGAAGGTCTCTGCTGACTCATGACAGCATGTGTGTGGATTCTAGACCCATTAGTTTATTTACAATATTGAACAAACCTAAACGTTTTATTAATGGAAAATGTTTCTTGTATATAATTATTTATATAATATTTCACATAATGATTGAAGTGTCAAAATATAAGTGGAAAAGTTATTTGATTGATGAGATTTTGATCCAATTAAATCATTTGTTGATAAATCATTATTTAAGTTGTTATGTATATGTAGTCCAACCTTTTATTGATTACTCCAAAACACACATACAGAAGAATTTGAGCTTACGAAGGAAATATATATTATGGGTTACAATACACGAGTACATAGACGACCAAAAACTCCCATGACATGTTGCTCTAAGTTCGCATTAATTTTCAATATCTAAAAAAAAAAAAAAAATTCTTGGTTTTGACTTGATCAAATGTTGATTTTAAAATTATTAATATTTTTTAGTACACAATTCAGGTTTATTGCCTTCGTGTTTCAGCAGCACAAGTTTCAATCTTGTTGCAAAGAGTAAAAATAAATAAGCTGAATTTTGTATAAAAAGTGAATAAATTTTAATATGATGATTTCATTCCACTCCATCTGTGTAATTAATAGTTAAGAGGTACGAGTTTTCGCACTAATTTTGGACGTTGATGCCACCCAAGCCAACTAATGACAATGATTTTAAATGAAAATTGAAAGATAAAACAGCCAACCCATGTCAATAATAGTGGCATAAACTGATTTGAACTTGAAGAAATTCATATTTATTTCACACTATATAAAGTCGTCGATGACAATAATTTTTAAACCATGATAATCACGGCTGAAGATGACAAACAACACTAAAATGTTACAAGATATTATTAAATATGTGAAGATTAAACGTATCAAGAAAGGAATATTCAATTCAAACAAGATATTATATAGTACTACTTAAATTGAGGTTGCAACTCCAATGGGGTCATGCAACATTATTCAACATATTAAGATAACATTAATAAAATTAATGCTAGTATAAACTATTATAAATATTAGATACACAATATCACTTTAATTATTCCCTTTTAATGGGAACCGTCCAACAAATCCACGAAACTAGGGGTGACAATCTCGGCCTCGTAAAAAGCGAGCCATGAGCCGTTCGGGCCGGCTCGCTAGGCGAGTGGCTCGTGGGTGAGCTTGTAGGCATTTATCTTATATAAAAAAAAAAACACTCAAAGGTTTATCTTATATAAAAAAATAAAAAAATTGACAAGCTCACAAGTCGGAGCTCGGGCTCGGTCCACGAGCCACGAGCCGAGCCGAGCCGAGCTTGACCCGTGAGTAAACAGAAACGAGCTGAGCCACGAGCTACACGAAACTGCCAACTTCTCTTTTATTTTCTTTTTTTACTTGCAATCGAGGCAAGGTACCTGAGGTCGAGTAAGCAGCGCTTGTTTTCATTTGAAAAATATTCCACAGCTTGATTTAAAATTAAAATTTCGTACATCTTTCTCTCAATTCCAAAGTGCGTAGTTGATATCAATAAAATAGATTCAAGTAATTTGAACTTTGCAGTATCAGTATGCAAAAAGGTAAAAACTTATTTTCCATTATATAATTTATGCAAAATATGCTAATTCTTAATAGAATTTCAATGAAGAAATAATTCTTTACAGCAGCCTGTTTTGCCTCAACAGCTAAGAACTCTGTAATAACTTCCAGGGGCATGCCCTTGGATTCTGGAACCCTTGAGTGGA